TGTTGTTGATTCATATTTATATTGTGAGGAAGATACTTAAATAGAACTTTGATTTTAAACTCTGAATTGAATTAATTGTAACTAAAAAGACAAGTAAACAGTCAGTAATAAAATAAGAATAGATAAATGACAAGCAATGGCACAAACAAATACAATAACAAGATACAACTAAAATTAACTGTGTTTTAAGTTTTTCAGGTATAACAGTACAGTTCAGGTACAGAAATACCACATAAACGGAATAATCTATTTAACTTTGAAATAGCACTGGTTGGTCTTCAATGTATAAATAAGCATTAATGACAGACAGCAGCAGGTTTATTTAGGTTGCTGTCTCTTTAAGACCTCATGCACGAATCTAACTGTTACACAAGTTTTGTTTCTTAACTGTTTACATTCACTTAATAGCCTATAACTGACAATGTTTAATATAAATCGACTGTTTACGTGAATACTCAAGACGGGCATTTTTAAATAATTTTGCTTCGTTTACGTGCAATAAGACACAACACAACTTAATTCTGTAGTGTGTGTGTGTGTGTGTGTGTGTGAGTGTGTGTGTGTGTGTGTGTGTGTGTGTGTGTGTGTGTGTATATATATCAAATGGGACAACACGAATACGAGCTTATAACAAAAAGGCCCCAAACATCTGGGTTACTCCAAAAGGCGCTTTTTAGATACAGACACACGCACACTCTCCGCCAGCCATTGAAACATATTATACATGTAATATTTTATTGTACATTTTGATTCAATTGAAAAATGAATAAAATCACATGTTTGTAGTTAAAACTAAACACCCGACAGTTGTATCAAAAAGCAGCCCAAATTTTATCAACCCGCCCAATGCATTTTTTTTCCGGTCTGAGATTACTAAAAGAAGCCCAATCTGGCAACACTGTGTGCATTTTTGAACGAATCTAGTGAGTCAATGATTCAGTAACTCTTTCATAAAAACAGTCAGATTTATAAATTATTCTCATTACGAATTTGGGTAGTTCTACTGTTTTTGAGATTTTAACAGAGTGTTTGTGTTGCACATCATAGAAGACAACACTGTATTTTTTTTTGCATTTCTTAAACTGTGGTGAGAACAAACCAGAGCTGAAACCGGGGTTTCATGACCCATTAAGGCAATTTCATCGTACAGAAACCACCACCCACCCCTCCTCTTCTCATCAAGACATGAGATGCAGTGCTAAACAGTCTCTCGCTGTCGGTGCTTGTGATGTTTTTTGCTCTTTCTCTTTTAAATGCTTCCACACTGCTCACATGCTTGCTGCATTATAAAGAGTGCACACCTCTCACTCTACGCTGAGTGCTGTTTAATCATGTCACCAAAAATGTCATGAGCTTTTTTTGTTATTTTCGGCCGAATAATGTCGTTTGCCGAACATTCGGTGAATCCCTAATTTTAACTTTAACTTCTCAGGTAATATCAACGGTTTGTCTTATTTCAGATGCGGATGAAATTACAACAACAGTGGTTACTTATACTTATATTTAATTGTTTGATCAAAATTATTGGTAGGGACAATTTAGTAATCACTGGATTTTGGTAGGGACATGTCCTAGCTTACTACTAAATTCTATACGCCCTTGGATTATAAAGATTTTTATAATTAAATAAATCTGAAAGGTCATCTAAAATCAGTTCATTTAGCAGAAATGCTGGATAAAAAAAAAAAAGTAGAAGAGAAAGTTGTTGTTCCAGTTCTGTGGGGGAAATTAAATCTGTGTTCTGCTGAAAGTGGGGGAATTATATGTCGCAAACAACTCTATAGCTGCACTGTTCTGCCATTTTTGTGAGTTTCTTATTTTGTATTCTTGTTAATCTCAATGCTAAAACTTTTTTTTTAGCAGTGATGCGCATGCTTGGAGACTGTAGTGTAGTGGTGTAGTCTAGTTTTTTGTAGTGAGTATACTGGGATTTTCCCTCCCAGCCTCATACTCGCTGCCACACTCACTAAAGCATACAGTATGCATCTACATGTAACTGAGAGCATTCTGAAAGACGGCTTATGTTTTATCATCATTTATTATAAGCAACACAAGACTTTAACAGCCAATGACATTTACAGCTGGGGAGACTGATTTTCTGCTGTTTAGTGTTAATCATCTAACTCACTCAGCCAGTGAAGAGCTACATTTATCCTTAGATGTTATATGAATATGGTCCCTGGAGCACAGGTTTTATCAGCTGGGAATTTTCAATACACATTTAAGAGTGCCTGTTTTTAATTCCCTAGCCTGACTTTCAGTCCACAAGGCTGGCCAGTAGTTCTCATCTCTCTCATCATCTGAAACAAGGAGATATTTAACACTGTATTGAGTTTACTGCTGTGCACACACACACACACACACACATACACAGTATCTAAGTTATCTCTCCCCGTCTCCTGCATTCATTGATCCACCGCACTAACATTAGTGACGTTATTAGCTAGTTATGTTGGCTTGAGAAAACTATTATACTATTTAAACATTTTATTATTCTTGGACCGGATCTGTAGTTTGTTGCTTTATCTTTTCTAACTGATTGTGCTGGCCGGACACACACCCGGAGCAGTGGGCAGCCATTTATGCTGCGGCCGGGGAGCAGTTTATGGGATCAGAATCGTGCCTAAAGTATTGCAGTCACGGATAAAAAAATAACAAGCATGAAAACAACATTAAAAAACACAAGTAAAAATATATTGCACAAGATTTAAAAATGAAAGTAAAGTTTTCAGAATAGCAAACAATGGTCACGGATTGTTGTCCTTGCCACGTGTAGTCATGTGTAACCTTCCTTGCGTTTTTTGTGTCCCTTTTGTAAAATGGTAAAGTAATTATAACAGGAGCCATTTACATGAGTCCAGATTCTTGTTTAAATTGCAGGGCGAGGTGGAAGGTCGAAAATACTTGTTAAACTAAATTCAAATTTTCATTAGCTGTCATTCCAAACCTGTGCAGGGAAGTACAGATGAGACCTGTAGACCAGTTATGATGAATGAAGACCAGGAGTCCGAGATGTAATCAGTCGAGGAACAATTTACTTAAACTACTTTCGTTAGTAGTTTCATCAGCAGAAGTCGGCTTCAGTACTCAGCAAGGAGTTTGTAGGCTGCTCTCCCCAAACATCAAACACAGCAGCAGTTATACTCTAACAGAAATCAGTAAGCTATGTCATTACTTCAAGTTTCAGTATTCTGATTGGCTAAAGCATAGAAACATTATGCACCACGAAGTGTAAATGTTGAACGTTTTATGTTATTATACTTATGTGTGATTTAAACCTTCACAGTACTTCACTCACCCACGTTTCTGTTTGGTACAGATATGGGAGCTTTACCTGCAAACCCATGTGAGATTAATCTGGTATTTATATAATACATTTCCTTTGTATTCCTCTCACTTATAATTAACTAGATTATAATTACTATTAACTATATTTATAATAACTATATTTAGAGCAGTTTTGTCTTTTGATAAGATGTAGTGAATGAAGTTATTCAGCATCTTCAAATGTTAATTAAAAATGAATGCTTTAACTTTCTTTCCTAAATATATGTTGTATAATATGAAATATAGGCATTTTGTAAATTGTCATTCCTCTTGTCTTAAGGAGTTGGCATGCCACCTGCTGTGCATTAATGTATAAAATAATGAGTCAATGCATAATTGGTGTTTAGTTTTGAGGCCCATGCATTTTAGTAAAATGGATTTAAAAGTGTCTGGCACAATTTATTTCTGTCTACTTTTCTGAAAGCCATCTAACACAAATCTCTTTTTCAGCTCCATGAAAATGACCAGCTCTGCAGATGATTTATTTAGTTCCCAGATATGTGTATATTCTATAATCTATCACAATTGCTTCCTCTCCTCTTCGTGAGGATTGTGCTTTGTGAAGCAGCATGCAATAATGCAGAATATGAAATTAATGGAGAGTGTTGCCCAATGTGTTATTCAGGTAAGATACTTAAAGGGGTCATATATGATACTTTTTCATTATAGGCTTTAAACTGTATCATTCATTATTACTGATGAACAACTGTTATGCTATATGCTCATAAAATAATCTTCTGTGTTTGAACAGAAATGACACTTGTGGTACATTCCCTTCATCTGGTATAAAAACAATGTAAAGAAACAACTAGGGCAGGCCAGGTGTTGAATTACAGTGTGAAATCTATTTATACAGTACACAGTTTTATTTCTGATTCAGTTTTTCATTATAAGTCACTTATTTGACAGATATTATTATAGTTACATAATCCACAAATAGATTTCAAGGTCTAGGTTAGTGGTTTCCAAGATGGAAGATGGATTGGAATCACTGATCTATCCATCACTGCATTAAACACAGCATGACTCCAGTCTAGGGTTGGGTATTGATGCAGATTTCCTGATTTATTTATTCACTTTGATTCTGATTTGCAAACATTCACAACTCGTCAAGTTGTTCAGCAGAAGCAGCTATCCCTGAAAATAGGCATAAAGTAAAAAAAAAGAGGTCAAAAACCAATATTGGGATTGTTCATAACAAGATCCCGATTAATTAGAAAATCTGTGTACCCAGCATTATTACAGTCTGATTATTTGTATTATTATATTATTTATTCTAGGCTATTTTCTAAATCAGAAAAAGATTTATTGGCCAGGTGTGAAGTTTGTTGTGGCGTTAGAAATGTACTTAACATAAAATCAAGATACAGAACATAAGAAACATACCAAAAAAAATAATTTTTAAGTCTACACAGTTTATAGAAATATACAGACATACAATAAATGCAACTTATACAGTAACAAATACATGCAAAAGTTATGTACATATGGCATGTATAAATAATGTATAATAATGTGCTGGCAATTTTTTTTTATATTGTCTAGGAAATCGAGTTCATAGACATTGTGACAATAGTAATTACTATTTCTATGTTTAATATTTTTTCATGAGCACCAAAATCAATCTGGTCCTCCCTCTAACGAAGTTATTTGCTCTCTTGGCTAATGTTTATAGATTAAACTTGTATAAGTCCCAGGCAAAAGTTGCATAGATCCCCCAGCAGATCTTTGATCAAAGATTCAGTCATGTTTAGTGGACTTTATTTGGGACAAGCTGCACTGGGTACCAAAAAGTGAATTGAACCGTCCTAAAGAAGAAGAAGGAGGACTTGGACTGGTGCATCTACAAACATTCAGTTCATACAAAGACTTTTAACAAGCTCAGAGAACCCAAACTGGAAGAAAGCAGCTTTCTCTACACTGAGAGGGGTTGAAGGACTAGGATTGGATAGAGCCTCACTGTGAGATAAGAAGAGGACTGTGAACACTTTGTTCTGGCTGTGGAACGAGGCGTTTATTTTGGGCTCATGTTTGGCCTTGTCCAGTGAACTGAGTTACTTTGTGACAGAAGAGAATCTTCTCAACTCTGGAGCTAACTTTATAGATGTGAGTTCAGTGACTGAGAAGCTGTGGAAGAGATCTACTCGTTTGGTCGCCAGAACACTTGACGAGTGGAGGACCGCTTTGTCTGAAAAATAACTGAAATTGTTATTGGATTACTCACTGGGGTTTATTAATCCAGATTGTACCGATTCTTCTCCCGAGTTATATTTAACTCCCATAATGGACAATTGTGGAGGCTGTTTCTTAGAGGTTAACAATTTGATTGTGATGAGTTCAGATGTTACTTCTGGAAAGGTCTGTTACAAAATCTGTGTTAAAATCTTTAATAAGAAGACCTTGGATTAAAAAATTGATCCTCCTTGGCGTGGTATGCTTCATTTGAAAGAGAGTGAAAAACCTGAGTGGAGAGTATTGTATAAGTCACCATTATCTAAGAGAATTGGAGATGTTGTTATTGCAGTGAACACTTTTGTTTCTGTTATTAACCTGAATATGGATCAAAACTGTTCTTTTTGTTCAGAAAAGAAAACTGTTTTCCAAGCATTTATGCAGTGTTCAAGACTCACCCTTATTTATTGTTTTAAATATTATTTTTAATTGCTTTAATGAGTGTTTTTCAATGAAGGTGTTTATTTGTGATTTTAAATATTCACAGAGTCGTAAGTATCAGTGTCAGTTGTTTAATTTTATATTGGGACATGCAAAAATGGCAATTTATACTACAAGAAAAGAAAGAAATGATCACAGGGTTTGCAATGATTTAAAGGCAGTGTTAACTAGCTCTGTTAAATCCAGAGTCTTAATAGATTTTAATTCTTTTTTATAATAAGTAAAATCTATTACGATTCTGGATTTAACAGAGTTAGTAATGTATATGAGACAATATGCTGTTGTATATTGTAATAAAAGTGGCTTGAAATCTCAAATCTCTCTCTCTCTTCAATTCAATTCAATTAAATTCGATTCAACTGAGCTTTATTGGCATGACTGTGGAATAGCACAATGTTGCTAAACTGTTGCTACTTTAATCTGCCAATCATGGATGTATTCTTCCTGGGTTGTTTTTCCAATTTCTTTAACTTTTGCGTGTCTTAACTGAATTGAGTTGGTGTTTTCCCACTAAATAGTGCATGGGTCACTCTCTGGGGGTCCTCACTGTAAAATCCAATAGTTTATCTTACTTAGATTGAATTAGTAATCTGTACTTAGTTGTTATACTTACTAGGTTTTATTAACTTACAGCTACTTTCAAGGCAAATAAAACAATTTACTTACTGTTTTGAGTGACACTTACTTAAAATATTCAAGTAGCCACAAAGGAACCAATGACATTAATAAACCAGTGAGAGGATGCAGTTCACTAATATGTTGCTAATGTGACACATAACAACACAAGAAGAAGAAAAGAAAACAAGTCTTTTATAGACTTTTCACTCATTTCCTCCGTGTCTGCAGTTATCTTTCACTAGTTGCATTCACTCGTTTCCCACTCATCATGAATGTTGAATTTTCAATACAACTGAAATATTTGAGAGAACATCACTTAAGCTGACTTCATATTCAATTGATGTTGATTTTCCTAAAATGTTTTTTTTTTTTTTTACTCACCATTATAGGGATTAGCGTTCCCTTTGGTTGGTCACTTGGAACTTTGTTTATGTTACTGCAATTATCTTTCTGTTAATGCAGCATGCAATATGAAACCAGAGTGATTTGGTTTGAAGGGAAGGAAAGTAATAAATAGGTTGCGTTTAGAAAGTAACGTATCTTCTAATTAAACCAATATTGTTTAATTTTATTGTGCTTATGTTAGTCAATTCACTTTTGCTAAATTTATTTTTCATAAATGCCTTATGAAGTTTATAATTGGGTTTATATAATCCTTAAGAAATGTGTGGTAATATGAAGTCACACACAGACTTAAACATTCAGCACGCGAATCACAACAATGGTAACAATTCAATTTCATTTATTTTTATTAATTGTAACAATAACCATTTTATTTGCTCTTTTTGTTGTGTTACTACTGACACAAGACAGCAAATAAAAACAACTGTAAAACAAAGCAACTGCATAATTTATTCATGCCGCAATGCACTCTGGGAGTCAGTGAGTAGCTATACTAAGTCATGAGTAAACCTAAATGAAAGGATCAAGTACCCCCTACAGTTCTTTTTTAGTTACTAGAACTCTCGTGTAAGTAAACTATACTAATTAAGCATCTGTCAGTACAACATACTATTCCTATTTCAATCGTTTGCATGCTTTTTTTAAGTAAGCCCAACTAATTAGATTTTACAGTGCTGTTCTGTAAGTAAGAGCGCAGTGATAATCATCTGTCAGTGTGTCTGACAGAAGGAACCAGAACGTCGCTGTTCTCTTCTGGATTTCTGCTAGAACGGGGAATCTGCCCAATTCCTGCTGCCGAGACTAGGGGCGTTCCTGTGAGTCCCAGGATGTTCTTGCAGAACTCCAGGTGGAACATTTCAGTGGGGTTTCTATCCCAAGATATATAGTTTAATTTATTTGGGGCCCCAGATTTCACAACCGTATGGAAGAATGGGTTTGATGATGCTGTCAAAGATTTAATAGGTGGGTTGAATTTGAACAATGATCATCTTATAGTGTAATAAGCTCTACATGCCTTATCGGTCAGATGTTTTATTGCCAGATCAAATTGACCAGAAGCTGAGATCGTGAGACCCAAATAACTATAACATGTGACATGATTAAGAAGTGTTCCCTTATTGCAGTGATCCTCAAATCTGGCTTGAACCCTAATCAAACACACCTGAGTTTGCTATTCAATGTCTTCAGGGTCATTAGAAAATCACAGGTAGGTGATTGTTTGATTAGGGTTGGAGCTAAACTTTGCAGGAAAGTGGATCTCGCGAGCCAGATTTGAGGATCACTGCCTTATTGTAAAACTAGATTTTTTGTCAGTAAGGTGATGCTTTTTCTGGAAGATCATAATTTTGGATTTGTCCATGTTTATTGGTAAGGCCCAGTCTCTACTGTAATTTTTTTTAATTTAGAGGCTTTCGTGTAGTCCTTCTTCATGAGGTGAAAGAGCAGAAGATCGTCAGCGTACAGGAGGCATTTGATTTCTCTGCCCTCGAGGGTCAGACCAGGACAAGAGGACTTATCAAGTGCTGATGCCAATTCATTAATATAGATATTAAACAGAGTCGGGCTGAGGCTGCAGCCTTGAGGCACTCCTTTGCTCTGATTGAAATAGTCAATCCGTCTGTTATTGATCTTGACACAGCACTTGTTCCTGTTGTATATGTCCTTTATGATGTCACATGTCTTTCCTCCTATTCCACTTTGAATTCGTTTTAGAAAAAGTCAGTTGTGCCATACTGAATCAAAGCCTTTTTTTAAATCAATGAAGCAGCCAGATATTGTTCCTTGTTTTGTTTGATGAACATATTTTCGTATGAGTGTGTAAATGTGATTTGAAGTTCTCTGTTTAGGCATAAATCCAATATGACAATTGTTTAAAATCTTGTGTTCTTGGATGAACTGAATTAATCTGTCATTAATGATGGAACAAT